GTTTTAGAATTAAAAATATTTTTTTAATAATATTTTATTTTTTGTTTTTTAGATCGTCATTTGAACTGTTTATTTTATTTTTATGTTTCTATAATTGAACTAGACTTTTTAATATATTTTTTTTTTCTTACTGTCTTTTTTAGCAGTATTGGTTAGTTGGGGGTTAGGTACGTCGGCGAGTTAATGTACTAAATTATTCAAAGATATGGTAATATTATTATAAATATAAACTATAATTATAAACTATATTTGTTTATATTAATATAATAAAATGTTAATAAATCAATATAATTAAAATATATTAAAAGTAACTATTAATTTTAGTTTTGCACCATTTCTGAACTGTTAAACCAAATCACTTAATGAGCGACTTTACAGACAACTCAGACTATTTTTATATCCCAACACATCACCATATGTCTTCGACACAACCCTCCAAATTTTCTTTCCATTTAACTCTCCCCTTAATTCCAGGGAATGTTACTTTACTCCCAAATTCCACAGCTCCTTTTATCATCCGTGGACCATACCGAGCGACTTTTTTAACACTTCTAAACAACTCAGTTGGTCCTATTAAAGTGGTTATAATTAATTGGAAAAATATCGAAAACAAACGAATATGTGGGACTATTGCACTGCTACTCTCATATGAAAATAACACAGACAGTCTTGCACTTGTTTTTAAAGGCGAATCTCGGTGTTTGGTCTCCGAGTCATCACGACTCTTGCTCGACACTTTCCCACCAACGATCGAAGTCGATGTCCTCCCTCCCCTCCTCGACAGTGAAAAACTTTTCCGTTTTTCTGAAATTTCTAAAGCGGTGACGTGGACAATTTCTAAATTGACGGAACAACGAAAATCTCTTGTGGATCACTTCTATAAATCCCAAAAAACAAGAGAGGCTCAAATGCTTGAAAAAGTGACTGAAAATGAGGACTTTGCCAATTTGGCTGCGATGCTCCTTCCACTGACTTCCGACGAAACCGACGCGATTTTGTCCAGTGAGACTGTAGATGACGTTTTTGACATCTTGTTGGGGTGTTGCGGAAATTTTTCTGTGAAGTGCAAAAGTTGCAAAGAACAAGGCAATGAAACGGTGTTTGCAAAAACAAACCAAATCTTCAGCGAAAAGCAGAAGAACCACGTCAACCAATTTGGGTACACATTCAGTGTGACAACCGTGGAGACGGCAGATAATTTGATTGAAGTTTCTGAACCAAATCCGGAGTTTTCGTGGTTTGAAGGGTATAATTGGCAAATTATAGTTTGTGTGCAATGCGGGACACACGTGGGGTGGAAGTTCACTCAAATAGATCGTCCAGAAGAAGGGGAACAGAATGAAGAGCACAATGGACACCAAAGAGCTCTTTTTTATGGAATTCGATCGGACACGTACGTCATTGAAAAATGAAATGTTAAATATAGTATTTGGAATATTTTGTTGTTATACATTTTTAATGTTTCAAAGTATTCAAATTCATTGATAATGACAATTTATTGAGTTGGTTATTGATCTATGAATGAAAAAAACTTGGATTTGAAAGTATATAAAGAATTAATAATTATAATAATAGGAACTAAAAAGTACTATAAATTAAAAGGGAATGAAAGGGTTGGTGACATTACACATTGACAATATTAAAAATATAACACAACAACGTTTTAATGACTTCTTTGAAGAGTACAAACCTGTTGCATGTGAAATGGGAATGAAAACTGCTATATACCAAACTGAAACATTTTGTGTAAGTTATAATTCACTTAAAGAAGCAAAAAATGTTGTTAAAAGATATAACAAATGTTGGATTGAGACATCAAAAGCACATACTAATTTGGCTGAAAACAATGAGGAAATGATTGTCGAGTTTAGTAACCTTCCATCTAAATTCAAAGTTAGAGAATTGAAAGAACTCCTCCAAAGAACGAATTTTGTTAAAGTCTACAGAAAAACTAAATGCGGGGAAGTTATTAATGGAAATGCAAAAGTTGTTTTTAGTGATTTGAATACGACACAAAGAGCTTTCGGAAGAGCTAGAAATATATACCCAACTTGGAAGCTTAAAATTGAAACAGAAAAGAGTAAAACCAATACAACACGTGTTGAAAACAAAGAAAATAAAATTATGAAGTGTTTTGTGTGTGGTTCTGAAAGTCATCTATCAACAATTTGCCCAACAATCACATCAGAAAAAGGCCAAATACATGAGTGTGAAAAAGAAGATGATTTAACTACTATAATCAATAAAAAGGTGTCTCAACTATTGTCAAAAAAGAACAACGTTATAATAACAGAAGAAATTAAACAAAATATGGCGGATGAAATTATTTGTGATATTATTAAAGATATAACAAAACAAGTTGTGTAGTTTTATATTAAAAGGTGTGTATTTTTTGATGACTTAAAGCATTTCAAAGTACATTTAGAATTGGTTAACTGTTAAATAATTTTAATAAGTGAGTTGTTGTATTGTTGTTTTTATTAATTACTGATAAAAACTCGAATTGATTAATTGTTTGCAAAAGGAATATTTTAAAGTTAAAGTGGTGTAATATTGTTTTTCATAATATAAAAATAAAATAACATTGAACATGAATTATTTCTTTTCTTGTTGAACTTCTTCTTTTTTCTCTTCATCACTTTCTCTTTGTTTTGTGGCTGGATACGTTTTAAAAGAAAATTTAAGTTGTCCTTTCTGCAAAGATTTATGAGTTGTCGTTTTTGCTTTTCCTTCAACAAGTGGAGATCCGATTGACAAATCACTAAAAGCACCACTCAGTTTTTCCGTTGATCTTTCTCTTGTCAGTTTAGATCTTGGTTTAACACCAACTGCTGAAGGTGCAACCTTTTTCAAAAATTCTTTGTGTGCTACAAATTCAAAAGTAGGCATAACAAATACAATTCCTCTGAAAAAAACAAATTGGCTGACGTGGTCTTTTGTTTTTGTGGCCAATTGAACAAGTAACTTTTTTAAATTAATCAGCCTTTGATCGTAATAAAAATAGCTTATTGTCATCAAAGAATACACCATTCCAAAACAATGGTCTAATAAACGTTTAAATTCTACAAAAGTTGAAGTGAATTGGTGTTGTATCATTGGAGTAGCCATAGGTTGTGTTTCTAGTTTGGTTGTTATTTCATTACACCTTCTAATCATGATAATTAACATATTTTGGTAATTTTCTCCTGAAAAGGAGTTCGTCATATAAATAATTGCTCTACTTATCTAATTTGCTGATATTATATCTTTTTCTAAAAGTCTTTTAAACATTTCAAGAACATATTTTTCTTTAGTTGCAATGTGTTCCAAACACATAATATCAGTTGGAGTTGAATATGTTGGATGTTTGTTAAATTCTTCTTTCATTATCACTAAGTTTTGAACATAGACTTCATATAACTGAACAAAAAGTCTTAAACATTGTTTTATTTGGACTTGATAATTGGAAATGTCTCTGGTCGGAGCACTATAACATCCCCAAATAATTAGAAACAATACAGTAAACATTACATTTCGTAGTTTTGAATAATTAAAAAACATATTTGACTTTTGAAGTCAAATGTTAAAAAACAAAAAAAATAATACTATACAAAATATATTATTTAACTTCAAAAATGATTATTTTTATCACAAAATTTCGTATAATTTAAAATTTGTTTATTATTTGGTAAACTTTCAATGATGTTCGAAAAGAAATTAAACAAGTTGTTATTCTTATGTTAAAAATTAATTATCAATACATATTTGCTATTATTAATTTAATCATTTGTATTCATTATTTGCATTGTTTTCAAAAATTAAATAACTTTAAGTTTTTATTAAAAAGATATTTAATTTTTTATAAACATGATAGAAGGTATGTTAAAAATAAATTTATAATAAATAAAGTGAGTAATAAGGGAGTTGCACCAAAAATAGAAAGAGGTATAAATTAAAAAAAGACTCTTACAAACAATCACAAAATGTTGTTATTGTTATGTATTACGCTCTCGATGAGCTATACATTAAAATATCCAGCCACCGATTATCCCCAAACTGCAGGTAACGAGTTGTACGCTCGTAGTAAGTGTACTACATGTTGTCGTGTCATATTTGCGACACCGTATAACTACGACAACAATCGATTTTTCACTGATGATGACTATAAAAATGGAATTGGAAGAATCTTTGTGATGGATATGGAATTTGATACTATCAATCAAGTTAGTGCTCCAGCTGGTGGATATGAACAAACTATCATGTTAAGACCTTTGGTAGAAGGACGTGAGTTACAATACTTTGAATTTGCATCATACAAAATGTTTACTGTGTATGTCCTCCCAAGAAGAGTCCACGATATTAGAAGAGGATCTTATGAGAATAACAGACTTATTATTTGGAGTAAGAATCCGCCCATTGAAGGAGCACCGGGTTCTGATAACCAAAGATTTATATATGTACACCCTTATGACTCTTCTTTCTATACTTCAGCTGTCGAACAAAATTGGAAGGAATATAAACAACACTTTTTCTTAAGGTATACCACTGGAAAGAACAAACTCTGTTATGAAATATGCAGAGGAAATGACTTCCAACCATCAACGTATTTTTAAAGTCGAAACGAATGGCCGGGAGAAGATCAAATGAGAAATGTGGGTTCTACTCACCAAATCAAAGCCGCTTATTGTAATGGAATAAATCGATACCAAATGTTCATCCCTCTTTATGCATAATTCTTGTTTAATAATTATTGTTGATTAAATTTTGTAATAACTATTAAGATAATAATAATTAATAATAATTAATAATATTATTATATTGATTCTTTCATTTGTTTTATATTATTAACTTAATACTAAAAAAACTAAAAATAATTTAAATTAATCGAATTTAATAAAATTGTAATAAAAGTATCTTAATACAAATCTTTGAATATGTTTACAGTTAAAGGCGTCTATTTGTCTTGAATCCAGCAAAAAAACGCGTCTGTCTGTCGTAAATGAGTGAATTTTGTAGAAAATTCTATTTAATATTGAAATTTATTTTTTATAAAAAAATTGGTTTTAAATTCAACAAAAGTTTTCAGATTCAAGAACAAAATATTAATTGTCGTACACCAAAATGATTGGCCAGTTGTGCGACAATTAAGCAAGTTCGACAATAATAATTACGACAAATAGACGCCTTTGACTGTATTTGTTCCACAATATTTTTTTGTTTTAAATATACGCTTTTTGTTGAATTTTAATGTTATTTTATTTAAAAATAAATTTAAATTATCAAATGTTTGTTTAAAAAATTCTATCATTTACAACAAACACATACTTTTTTCTGTAGGATTACAGAGTGACAGATGTTTTAAATGTCCTATTAAATAAATTTTTATAATAATTGTTTTAAACTTAAAAAGATGAATTACCAAGCATGTCATTTTTATAAAAAATAACATATGTAAATTAAATAATTATAAAATTTAATAATTTTCTATAATAATTTATGGTGAATAAGATTTAAACCCAAACCCAACACGTATACATTTGTTAATATAGTTAATTTTTAATACAACTAATTAGAAACAATTTTACACCAAAAAACTATATTATATAATTATGTTTACTATTAAAAAACAATTAAAAAGACAAAAAATAATGGTTAAAATGTGTATTAGTTATTAAAAAAAATGGAAAATAATACAATTTATTCAAAAATCGTATCAAGTAAAAATTATAAAAATCAATTAAAATCAATTAATTATAATCAAAAATCACTAAATGTAAAAACTTGAATATAAATAATATTTTTTGTTGAAGTTATAATTTTGAAGATGCTAGTTCATGATACAAAAAACTGTATTTAAAATAATATTATAATGGTTTTTATCTTGAAACACAACCCTATAATAATTTATTACTTATTATCAAATTAATTCTAACAATTTCAATGACTCTACTACAGACAAACGATGTTTATTTTAAAGGACTTCAAGAACAACACAAAGTTCCACAAATGTCATTGTGGAACACGTTGTCATCACTACAAAGTAACGATCTTCAGGCAAAAAAACAGTTTAAACTTGTATAGATCCATTGAAATACCTATTTTGTGTGTTTTTAAACAACAACCCACTATAACACACAGGTTGTATTCGGTAAATGACAAAATTGTTAAAGGATTGTATGACATGCTTGGGGAAACAATTGATGGTTCTTGTACAAAAGAAATAAAACGATTTTGTTATACATTAACTGACACATTTACAATTCAAATTTATGCTGCAACACACACTCGCTCCGACTCTCCTAAACAAATTTATAGTTGTAAGTCGGTTGGTTGCAATTCTTCTATAGTTGTTTTCATATTTGAACAAAAGTGCCTATTTATTTACTACAATCCATGGCACATTGATCACTCGGAAACAACAATAACAAAAGGTCGACACGAACTCATTCCATTTGATAAAAGACAAATTATACTTCGAGATGCAAAAGAGAAAGTGAGTACGCAACTTTCCAGGCAAAACCACTATTTTACATACAATCCTGAAATGCTTAATGATATTCGTAAAAGAGCATATAAAGATCAAACCATCAAACAGGCAAATCAGCTTAATATATACCTAAATTCCCTTTCAGATTTTTCAACTTTGTTATTCGTGGACACTCAAAGGAGATTTGTTGGATGTTTTTGCCTCAGCATGCTATCAGTTAACGAATACGATAATTCATGTCTTGTCATAGATGACACACACTGCACAAATAAATTCTCCAAACCTTTATTCGTTGTTGTTTTTAAAAAGAATGATATAACAAGATTGTTGTCATTTGGGTTTTTACGTGACGCATCCAAACAAGCGTTTGAGGAATATTTAAAAGAACTTAAACAACAACTTGATTTAAGATGTTT